GTCGGCGACACTTATTTATCTGTCAATCACTAGATTATCATTCGCTGTTAGACAATGTTATATGCTGTTGGATCAGCATGCCAGTATTTGAAGTCAAGGAGCGCCATCATTAAGTTTTGTCCAGGGTCAACACTGCATCACAATTCCCAACATTCTGACCCGTCACGCAAATCAGATTAAAAAAAAACAACAAAAAAACAAAAAAAAAAACATGCCAGCCAACCAATTGCCAAACGCCTCTCTTAAAAATGAAAAATATAAAGTGAAACTTTTGTTACGATAAATCTTTTCTATTTTTTTTTTTTTTTTTCGTTGCAAGTCGCGATAAATGAGCCATGTTTACGCCATGTTTATCTTACAGATTAAGAATTGGCGGGAAAATAGTGGAACCGGAAATAGACAACTCGTTACGCTCATACTATTTCCGAAAAGAAGCCAAGGCGTAAGTAAAACAGCTAGTAACACTAGAAAGAAATGAACAAAGTGTTTTGATTGGCAAAAGTGAAAGAAAGAAAGAAAGAAAGAAAGAAAGAAAGAAAGAAAGAAAGAAAGAAAGAAAAACTTTATAGAAGTGACATCTAAGTAAGAGAAGAAATGTGTAAGAGTCGATTCATGGAGAGAGACCCGCGGAGTAGAGGAAACAGTGAAAGCCAAAGCCCTTTAAAAGGTTTTAGAATAATTACAATTCATGAGGGAACAAAAAGAAAAAAAAACGATGAACATAGAAAAAAATTTAGGTGGTGAAAGAGTTAAATAAATAAAGGACAAAATGATTTTTTCTAGGATGAGGAGTTATTCTTCTTCTTATTATTATTATTTACACTATTTATATTCGGTCTATTGTCCTCATCTTTGCTGTTTTTATCGCAACGTATCAGCCATTGTGTCCCCCGGCCTTCCTCGGTTGTATATCGATATGGGTCACCTAGGGATTGAACTGCTCGACCTAGGGATTGAATTCACAAACACTATTTCACCAAATTCACAAACCAAATATTTTGCCCACTAGCCTTAGTGGATAAAAATGGTCTGGCAGTTTGTACTTGTACTCAGTTGGTAATTGTACTCAGTGGTAATTGTACTCAGTGGTAATTGTACTCAGTTGGTAATTGTACTCAGTGGTAATTGTACTCAGTAGGAACGGGCAACCAATAGCTGAGTAGTTCTCAATAAAAATAAGAACTCCACTATCCATGAGTAGTTTGTACTTGTACTCAGTGGTGCCTGTACTCAGTGGTACTTGTACTCAGTGGTACTTGTACTCAGTGGTAATTTTTAGAAATGAGTTCCAGTTAACCCCATCTGATTGAGGGGGAGTAAAAATTTGCATACATGTTCGAAGAGAGATATATAAAATGTGCATACGTGTTCGAAGTGAGATACATAAAATTTGCACACGTGTTCGAAGAGGGATATATAAATTTGCATACGTGTTCGAAGGGGGATATACAAATTTGTATACGTGTTTGAAGTGAGATAAATAAAATTTGCATACGTGTTCGAAGTGAGATACATAAAATTTGCATACGTGTTCGAAGAGAGATACATAAAATTTGCATACGTTTTCGAAGAGAGATGCATAAATTTGCATACGTTTTCGAAGCGATATACATAAAATTTGCATATGGGTTCGAAGAAAGATACATAAATTTGCATACGTGTTCGAAGCGATATACATAAAATTTGCATATGGGTTCGAAGAAAGATACATAAATTTGCATACGTGTTCGAAGCGATATACATAAAATTTGCATATGGGTTCGAAGAAAGATACATAAATTTGCATACGTGTTCGAAGCGATATACATAAAATTTGCATATGTGTTCGAAGAAAGATGCATAAATTTGCATAGGTGTTCGAAGCAATATACATAAAATTTGCATATGTGTTCGAAGAAAGATATATAAAATCCTAAAATAGCCAAAGGCGGTAGTAGTAGTAGTAGTAGTAGTATTTTTACTTCTTTCATTATGACCGTTCTCCCCTTTTTCGAAGCTGACTGGACGTGTTACTGAAACTGTTAACAAGTATCCTAACTCTTCATTTTCTATCGTTACTTCTACAAGGAGAATTACTTGTAAGCAAAAATATGGTGTTTTTTGTTGCAATTCGACACAAACGATTGCCAGCGCGAGATTACGCCAGTAACAAGTAAGAATTCGTTATCATTTCTTTCTTTCTTCGCTGAATTTCGCTTTAAGGGCAAACAGTTGCCATTATAGTATTTTCTGCCTTCTCTTTCCACAAAAAGTAGGACTTGAAATCCAGACAACACACACACACACACACATATTATGAAAATTAGAACATGTAAGTAACCACTACAAAATTGTACATTTTGTTTCAACGTTTAATAAAACGTCTCATCAGGTAGTTAACAATGATAACTACCTGATGAGACGTTGAAACAAAAGGTACAATTTTGTAGTGGTTACTTACATGTTCTAATGTAACAGTGTATAATAAATATTTATTGCTCTACTCTGACATTTTTTTATGGGGAGGTATTTCTGCCGCACCCTGTATTTTGTCAAGAGACTGTTTTTGGAACACATTGGCTGATACGTTGCGATAAAAACAACAAAGATGAGGACAATAGACCGAATATAAATAGTGTAAATAATAATAATAATAAATTTTGAACGTTGAAATTTTGTTCTTAGTTCTTTAACATTTGAATATATATGTATATATATATATATATATATATATATATATATATTAGCTCTGGATTTACATTGAGCTCTCAGGATTTCATCCTCCTTGGGATTACTCATACGGATTACCAAGTTCTTTATAACTTATATATATATATATATATATATATATATATATATATATATATATATATATATATATATATATATATATATGTGTGTGTGTATACATGTATATATATATATGCATGCATATATATATATATATATATATATATATATATTATACACGTGTTCTAATGTTACAGTATATAATAAATATTTATTGCTCTACTCTGTTTTAAATTAACGTTTTAAACGTTGTAATTTTATCCTTCGTTCTTTTATATTTGGAGATATATATATATATATATATATATCGCCTCGATGAAGGCAACAATGCCCCTGAGTTGTGAGGGGCTACTTGGTGTGAATGAAAAGGTTTTAGAAGGAACCTGAATTCCGTTCCAAAACCGGGTATAAACCGATACTCTCGTTCGAGAGACTAGGGAATAGGCAAACCTATCTACTCCTGTTGATGAAAGAAAAAATAATTAGCAAATAAAAGACGCATAGAGTTGAAGGAACCGAAAACGGAATACTTAACCGGGAACAATGGATAAACCTCTAATCCTGTTCAAAAGATCAAGGAGGCCATATCACGTTGAAACCACGTACGATCACCGAAGTTAAGCAACTTAAGATGGGTGACCACTAAGTTTGTACGATTGGATGTGCGCGTGGTGTAATAGATAATAGCTCGGGATTGTTAATCGGAGAGCCGAGTTCCAATTCCACTTGGGTTCGTTATATTCTCTTACGGAGAAATACCTTTGGGGAAGATATGAATTCACCTCTTCTCCCCCACCCCCCAGCTATAGGTTAATTAGTAAGACATGTATTACTATAATCATTTAATAGCTCCTTCCCCTGAGCAAATTCTTACAATTTAAAAATATTTCTGGTTTTAAATAACCTGCAAAGGGTTGCTAAGCCGTAAAAACGATCAATCAATCTCTTTGCCGGGCTCACTCTCTCTCTCTCTCTCTCTCTCACTCTCTTTCTCTTTCTCACTTACTCTCTTTCACTCTCTCGCTCTTTCTCTCACTCTCTCTCTCTCTCCCTCACTCACTCTCTTTCACTCTCTCGCTCTTTCTCTCACTCTCTCTCTCCCTCACTCTCTTTCTCCCTCACTCTCACTCTCTCTTTCTCTCTCTCTCTCTCTCTTACAATTTAAAAATATTTCTGGTTTTAAATAACCTGCAAAGGGTTGATAAGCCGTAAAACGATCAATCAATCTCTTTGCCGGGCTCACTCTCTCTCTCTCTCCCTCTCTCTCTCTCTCCCTCACTTTCTCTCTCTTTCTCACTCACTCTCTTTCACTCTCTCGCTCTTTCTCTCACTCTCTCTCTCTATCTCCCTCACTCTCTCTCTCTTTCTCACTCACTCTCTTTCACTCTCTCGCTCTTTCTCTAACTCTCTCTCTCTCCCTCACTCTCTCTCTTTCTCACTCACTCTCTTTCACTCTCTCGCTCTTTCTCTCTCTCTCTCCCTCACTCTCTCTCTCTCTTTCTATCTCTCTCTTTCTCTCTCTCTCTCTGTTTGCTTCTCGACTAAGCGTGACATGATTATGGATATATAGATATGTATATGAAGATGATGAGACAGAGTAGAAAATATTTTTTTTATTGAAGTCGCGTTTCGCCAGAGAAAGCTTATGTTCTATTTAGTATCATCAGTTTGACTAAAAGAACGATCAAGCTATGCTTTAGGAAAATGACTTGGGATCGCCTAGGATACGTTGGTATCGTAATATATATATAGGCACCGACTATATATATATATATATATATATATATATATATATATATATATATATATATATATACGTGTACTTCGATATGTGTGTGTGCATAACGCGCGAACGTGTGTGTGAGAGAGAGAGAGGGAGAGAGGGGCGGGGAGAAGTACAAGTCATGTTAAATTGACTGCCTGCATATAGCTTCAACCCCGTCCAACCAACATCTAATCTAACAGAAAAATAAGCCGTGTGGTTGATGCAAGTGGGGGGTGGGTATAGGGTAACGGTATACAAGGTAATTTTGGCCGGAGAGTAGCGGTAACGGGTCAGGAAGGATAAAGTGTAAAGAAGAAAAAAAAAATGCCAGGCAAAAATCGATCGATTAATCACAGCAATTGTGGCAGGCGGGAAGGTAGGTTGCAAAGCGCCCTTGTTATTTATTGCGAGCTCATTGTCCGGCATTGGGGCAAGTCATGTCGAGTTTGGACTAAGAAGTTGGGGTTTAGGACGGCGTGTGGGGGGGGGGCATGGAGGAGAGTAGGTTAGTTCGTAAACAAAAGAAAGAAAGAAAGAAAGAAAGAAAGAAAAGAAAGACTGCTTCATGAGGATGACGATGAAATCGAAATAAAGAAGGCAGTGATGCGTATATCATAAGGAGGACCAGTGTGTGATGAAGAAGCGCTGAGGAAGAGGAGAGTGATGAAACGAAAGAAGGAAATAATGGCGAAGCTCAAGGGAAGTCAGGATGTCGGTGAAAAGAAGGTAAAGTGATGTGGAAGTCATAAGGAAAAGCGCTGGATGAAGAGACGGAACAGAAAAATAATGAGATGATGATGATTCTGCTGCTGTTGATGATGATGATGATGATTCTACTGTTGATGATGATGATGATGATGATTCTGCCGTTGATACTGCTGCTGATGCTGATGATGATGATTCTGCTGCTGTTGATGATGATGATGATGATTCTGCTGTTGATGCTGCTGCTGATGCTGATGATGATGATTCTGCTGCTGTTGATGATGATAGATCTGCTGCTGTTAATGAGGTTGATTCTGTTGCTGTTGATGATGATGATTCTGCTGATGATGATTATGATAGTTCTGCTGCTGTTGATGATTCTGCTGCTATTTATGGTGATGATGATTATGATTCTGCTGCCTCTGCTGCTGCTGATGATGATGATTCTGTTGTTGTTGTTGGTGGTGGTGGTGATGATTCTGCTGTTGATAATGATTATTATTTAGCTGCTGTTGTTGACAGTAATGACGATGCTTGTTGATGATGATTATGATTCCGCTGTTTGATGATGATGATTATTTTGCTGCTGTTCTTGATGACAATGACGATGCTGTTGATGATGATTATGGTTCTGCTGCTGTTTATGATGCTGATGATGATCATGCTGTTGGTGGTGATGATCATGGTCATGATAATTTTGCTGTTATTGATGATGATAATGATTTTGCTGTTAGTGGTGATGATAATGATTGTAATGCTGCTGCTGTTGATGATGACGCTACTGTTGATAAGGAAGTGGTGGGAGGAAAAAGAAGGAAAATAAAGGGTAAAGCACAAAAAGGAGAGTAACATTCGGAAAAGAGAAGAAAGAAAATACACATTAAATAAAGCAAGAAAATTCGCAATCGATTTGTTGTTTTAACCGGAATAGTTGCTTATTTTCCAGGGAACGTCCAGTGTGCTTCGTATTAGGCTTAAATAACAAGAAAAAGTGGGGTGCAAATTTTCAAATGTTGCTTTTTAGATCTGGCGGGGGCGGGGGCGGGGGGCTTCCCAAATCTGAAAACACAACACAATCTCCATACCAACGTTGCCCCAACCCGCCGTTTTTTGTCCTTCAGCTAAACTTAGCAGATATATTAAATCCTCGATTTAAAGAACTAATAGGAGGTGGGGACTGTTGTCCATCAATTCTTAATATTTTAAATAAGAATTTAACCTAGGAGGCCATTTCTTTTTTATATATATATATATATATATATATATATATATATATATATATATATATATATAATTATTTATTTAAAAATATGATTCCAATAAATAAATAATTATATTTATGCTCTACTTTTGTATCGAGCACTATTTTTAAAAATAATAACAAAAATACTAAAGAACTTAGGATTATTTACCTAACGAGTTCTTTCCTATTTTCTATATATTTTCACACACACACACACACACACACACACACACACATATATATATATATATATATATATATATATATATATATATAATTACCTTTGATACGATATACAGTTCTGCACAATTTCCACCGTTAGCTAATTATTATGTGTTGCACCCGGCCATTACCTCAGACAAAGAACGGACCATTCTGTTTTATTATGGGAAAAGACAGAAGAAAATGTTCTTGGCTTAAGAAAGTAATATAGAGGAAGTGATAACGCTCTCATACGCTTAGCATCTGCTTCGGTGAAATAGAAAGAAGCGGAGAACACAACACAATCTCCCTACCAACGTTGGTCAACGCATCATACACGATATATATATATATATATATATATATATATGTGTGTGTGTGTGTGTGTGTGTGTGTGTGTGTGTGTGTGTGTGAAATTTTGATTTTTGATTTCAATTATTAAAACACGTAAATTTCAGAAATAAGTTATTCCAAAAACAATTTCGCTTGAAGATGGAACAGAGCTTATTTTAACTCAATTTAATTCAAATAATTATATTGAAGGTTTCGGCTCTTGTTTTGAAACATGAGTCCTCTTATGTCGCGAGTTGGAATCATATTTTTAAATAAACAATTATATATATATATATATATATATATATATATATATATAAATATAAATATAAAATTAGCGTATGTATTGCTAGCCCTGGCTACGACGTTGACCAAACTATATATCCATTTACTGCTGTCAAAAAGTACAGCTGTATTTAAAATAAACACGATTTTGTTAAATATATGTAATATTCACATATTAGTATCGTATTATAAAATACAAACATAGCGAATATGCATCTTAACCATTGTTTACGTTTATAAATTGTTTAGCTGTTTCTCGTTCGGTTGTTTATAGCTGTACGCGTTTACGCAACGAGTATAGCGTTACTAACGATACTTTTATCCTTTTCTTTTACTTTTTTAACTTATTTAACTAGAAGATGAGATAAAGAGATAGAGGAAAAAAGGTTAGTCGATTGTAATCTTGTCTCCACCCCCTAAAAAAAAAAGAACTTGAATGATACACTCGGTACAGTTTTTATAATTGAACAATCGGGTGACGAACGATACACTAGTATCTACTAGGCGCACGTTTTACTAGTATTTACTATTATTTAGTTCAACAGTAACAACTAGTTGCCAATCTAGTAGTACACTTGTACATTTAGAAAGTATCATTGAGAAATAGTCTATAGACGATATTCTTTGTAAAATAGAAAATAATCCTCTTCTTTCAATTGCATATTAGAATCTATTACTTTCTTCATAAGTTCATGCAATATTCCACCTTTTTAGAAAACGCAACAGAAAATGATTATGCCGTAATCTATTTATTCAGACTGTCTGCTGAAGCTATAACGACATTTTGTTGCTTGAAACTTGCAATCGTTTTCAGGTGTTCGTCGTATAAGGTAAACTTCTACATATTTCGAATTGTATCTTTTATTTGGCGAGCCCAGAGAGTCTGGATAACGTAACACTCACAAAAATAGAGCAAAAGTAAAATAAATAAATACTAATGAGCCAGTTACACCCTACCTAGGTTTCACCACATCGGATCATCACGGTGAACTGGTTGATGATCCCATGTGGTGAACTCTAGGTAGGTAGTACCTCGCTCATTTGGATTTATTTATTATATATATATATATATATATATATTAAGAAATGGACAAAGTCTGACAATTTATTTATTAAAGACATTTTTATGTTTAACGTTCTTTTTTATAGATACAAGTATTTAAGTAAATGCTCTGTTTATAATAAACAGTATTAAATAACAATTACCGGCCTGAAAGTCCGAGAAATTTTCATAGAAAATATTCGTCCTTTGACAGGATTCGAACCTGCATCCTATACGGTTCCGTATATTTTCTATGAAAATTTCTCGGACATTCAGACCGGTAAATGTTATTTAATACTGTTTATTATAAACAGAGCATTTACTTAAATACTTGTATCTATAAAAAAAAGAACGTTAAACATAAAAATGTCTTTAATAAATATATATATATTTAAGTTATGAAGAACTTGGTAAACCGAATTGGTAAATCCAAGGAAGATGAAATCCTGAGAGCTCAATGTGAAGAACAGAGCTAATATTTAATGAAAAACAGACCACTTTAATTACCATTACAATAATTTATTTCACCAAAATCCTTTTTAATGGATTACGGATCATCAGGTAACACTTCCAACAATGTTCATTGTTTTTTTCATTAAATATATATATATATATATATATATATATATATATATATATATATATATATATATATATAATTTACTCAGATGATGATATTATTATTATTATCTCTACTTTAAAAGAATGAAAAAAATCTATTAATTCTTTCGAAATTGCTTTGTTTATAGTTTTGTTTGGCCGAACAAGGTTTAGGTAATATATCAAAAAGATAAAATTTAAGAGGTATGAAAGACAGAAACTGTTTTTGAAGGGTCATGATCTCCAACGTCATGGAGAACACGGTACAAAGAAGAAGAAGAAGAAGAAGAAGAAGAACGCTACAAGACAGTTGATGGTTATTCGGGGGAAAAAAAGTTTTTAAAAAGCCATGACATTTTTCTTTCCAAGACAGACGTCAATTCACTCGTCTGTTTGGAATTTTAAATCTTACTTCTGGTTAATTAATTATTTGTATCTGCTTAAACCTCTCTCTGCATGTCCCGACGTATTTTTTTATTTTTTATTTTTTTTATTGTTTGTTTTTTTAACAGCCACGAAAGAACAGTTCTATTTCAGACATTATTTCATCAAAACTTTCTAAGAATAAACCATGTTTAATGCATATCGTCACATTAAGCAGGCACTGAACAGGTTCTCTGAAGTCGCCTCGGCCTCCCAAGAGGTTTGGAATGCCTGAGTTGATTAAAAAGTACATAAAAAAAAATTAACAAAATGTCGGATCCCTAATACTGGCTTATCCGGGTGGGCTAGAATGAAACGTTATACCACCCAATCTCTGAGACGCCAAAATAGCAACCAATAATATAATGGAATGACTAAACTCTGGGCAACGGCGCATCTCCCTAAGCCGATTTCTTCATACCAAGACATCGAAATGATTTGACGTAAGATGAGCTAAGACGACACAGCCGCGATCTGCAGGATCAAATACCCGTACACATTGACTTTTAGAGTAACAACCTTAGTAAAATGGAAACCGTTGATCATACCGCGTGACGTATAATATCTATCTATCTATCTATATATATATATATATATATATATATATATATATATATATATATGCACCTGCAAACAGGTATCCACGGAGAACAAATATATATATATACACACACTGGCAAAAACAGACTACTCACAGGCACGTACGTGAGCCCTACGCAACACAGAAAATATGTATATGCGTGTGTGCATATGGGGGTATGTATGTGTGTAGATATGTATGTCTATACACACACACACACACACACACACACATATATATATATATATATATATATATATATATATATATAATTATTTATT